ATAGAAGGAGCCTGAATTATTCTTTGTCCACTGGAAATTCTCAGCTGTATCCAGCCGTGTTATTGGCACAAGCATATACCATAGTCTCAGAACGTAAGCCTTCATCACTCTTAATTTTCCCACTGCGAACTGTCCTCTGCCAGTTCCCACCTGGTAAAATAGAAGAGCATTGTCAAGTGTTGCCACCCTACAAAGTAGGCTTAGGGTGATCTAAAGGGAAGAGCTTATTTTTTCTGCTGAATGGCTACAAAAGCAGTGCTTGGGTGAAATGGAAGATGCAGTCAAGCTTCTGGCAGGGTGATGAAATGAGGGAAGAATGAAGTGCAAAATTAGAACTATTAGAAGCATTCTCTGCATGTTTGCTATAACATTACTCATCTCTACTATATTCTGAATTCTCCTTGTTGGAAGCTGTTTTGTTCTGAATGCCACTGTCCCACTAGTGTCAGTAAAACTCTGCAAACAGTGGCTGTGAGAAGCAAGAAATAAAAGTGATTGTGCCTCTAGCATCTTGCCAGCTACATATGTAATGGAAAAAAACCTTGTGGAAGTTGAAAAGGAAAATTAACAGTTGTAGGTGTTGCAGTTTTAATAATTGCAGCTTTTATCTTGATGATGTCCCTTTTATGCAGCTCCAGCATCAACTTACAATTTTAACTGGGTGGATGCCAGGTTGGACGAGGCCTTGGGTGATATGATTTAGCATAAGGTGTCCCTGCCCACGGCAGGGGGGTTGGAACTGGATGATCTTAAGGTCCTTTCCAACCCTAACTATTCTATGGTTCTATTCTATGACCAATTCTATCCATTTTAAATAAAGTTGCAGGAGAGCTTTGTAGGACAGTATCACTTTCCCCAGGTGTATACAGTTCCCAAAAGACGTGTTTAACTTTCCTGAGCTTCTGTTGGTGGATTTGAAGATGGGGTTAGAAAGTGAGGAAAAGTAGAAAAAACATTAAAAATAATCATATTTTGCATTTCAGTGTTGTATAAAAAGTAAATACATCTGGAGCTTTGGAAAGCAAGCTGGGATTACAGGATTGGACATGTATGCTGAGACAAGCACTTAACAGCCTTGAGCATCCCAAGAGCAGGTAAATGTTCTGAAATACCACATCCTATAATTCTGATAGAAATAATTTCCGTACTTTAACAATTGCCAAGCACAAGAAACACATTTTTAAACAAACACGATTTTACAACACTCTGTATTGAAGTAAATAACCTAATTTTATGTGCAGTTCATTGTTGAATATTCTATTAATCTTCTTTTCAAATAAATACTTGCTTTTTGGAACCCTTCATTGCTCTGGTTTTCTGCAAAATATGAATACAGTAGAAGAAGCAGCTACCTGCATAGTGCAGAAAGGTTCATCAATAGTGCAAAGGTTCAAATAGGGCAGAAGTTCAAGCTTAAAGCTGGTGGTGTAAAACATCCTTTTGACTCTTGTTCTGTAGTAACTGTATTACCTCCTACCTTGATTATACATTGAGTTATTTGAATTTCCCCCCCCATTTCTGGCTTACCTGGTGTTCTTCCCAATAGATGTGTCCCAGCCAGGAGATTCCTCTGAACTGCCAGAAATTTACCAGGGAATTCAGAATAAATTTACTTTCACAGGATAATTGCATGTAATTAATCCAGCTGTCACAAAAACTCGGGAGAAACATCTAGTTGAAAACAGCATTTTGTTCACTTACAGCTAAAACAAAAAAGAACAATCCTTTTGTATTCACGGTGAATGCTGCAGGAAAAGGTTTAGCTTAACCATATGAACCTTTAGCAATGATTTTCCTTTGTAAGCAAAATTAGCTTTGCGAGTGATCTATACATTCATACATAATTGCACTTGCTCTTGAATGAGGTGTCTGTAGATATTTTTCTCTTGTCTGATGTCTGATTCCTAGATGGGATTTGGCAGAGAGATGTCACTGGGAGATTTTGTGACGTCAAGAGTTTTGTGTTTATATGGCATAATATGGAATCAGGTATTCAGAATCCAGGCTTGAAAGTTAATATGCTTTTTATTTTCTCTTGTTTCTAGAAGTCCTTATGGTGATATCTTTGTGGAAAAAAACAACTCTTCATGCCTTAGAGGTCAGCTGTTCAGCTTGAGCTATGGCTGTTCCTTCTAGTTCTGCGAGTTATCATTCACTCCTCCCGTAAAGGTACTATTCATTGAAAGGACTATGAAACAAGCAAACCCATTGCTAGGGCTTGCTGGGCTGAAAACATGTGGGTTTGGACATTGCTCACCTGGCTTCCAGGAATGAAAAGCCTTTCTGTGCTGAGAGAGAAGAGGCTGAGCCTCCCAAGAGATAGGTACTGCTTCTGTGCAGGAGGGCTGAGGTAGGACAGAGATGATGCAGAGGGAGCCTCTGGACAACACTCGTGCAAAAAGATGTGTGAACCTGTCACCAACCCACCCTAAGCAAAAGGGTTTGTGAGCAAAAGGAGGCTTGCAGGGAAAGCAGGAAAAACTCCAGTTCTGTTGACTCTAGGGAGCTGGGAATTCTCTTTCTCCCCTCCGCAGTGCACCCTTGTAGCCGCCTGACACTTGGGCTTTCTGTGGGTGGGTGACTCCTGACCGTGGAAGCTGCTATCTTAGGCCTTTGTTGCTGTACAGTTTGCAAACAAATTCCCATTCATTTATTCAGCTACTCAGGCTTGTGTTTTTTTAGAGCAGTACTGGTGCCCTCTCGTGGTCAATGTCATGAAAGAGCGTTAACATTAAAAGTGTTCTTTGGTAGTGTAAGATAGGTGAAGGCACTGCAGTTCATACACTGCCTCTGATCTCAGAAGTGAAAAAGTGCATTGAAACTCCAGAAGGAATATTCTCAGCAGCTCCTTGCTTACCCATGCAGGTCCCTTGGTACACGTGCTTAACTTCCTGCTCATTAGGATGGACCTTTTTCAAGCATAGAGGAGGTGATCCTTGAAAATCAAGCAGCTCATGCACTTTGTGATTTGTGATGCACATAAAGGGCAATATTTATACACAGGTAGGCCTACTGCAGGTGAGCCTGGTGCTTACAGCACATTTTAAAGTACTTGCTGTACATTTGGCATGCTTCCATCTCTCACACAACTGGGTAGGGCAGGGTGCAGGAGTCACAGCACTGCTGTATGATGCTAGAGTTGTTGGGATGATTAAGGGTGTGCATTAGTAATTCAGTGTTAAATCACAACTGCATCTCAAAAACAAAGGCTCTGGTGTGTAGGAGAGAGACTGACTATTCAGAGAACTGACAGTGGAAGCAGACACAGATCACCCCTCTTTATGGATGAGGAGCACAGGGAGTTTGTGTCAAGCCAGGATCTGCACTAAGATCTCTTGGCTCTCTGCCCTGTGCCATAGGTACAAGCCAGTCTGCTGCTTTAGGGACTAGGTTATGCATCACTGAAGTCCTTTGATGAATTGTCACTGACTTCAGTGGTCAGCAGGAGTAAGTCCTTGGCATGCATGAAAACAGGATTCTTTCAAACTCCATTTAACAGGGACTGCTAGAAACGTGATACTGTTCCATTCTAAGTTGTGCTTACATGGGTTTTCTTCTCTTAACACAATCTTGTTCTGTGATGTTGATTCCCAGTTTCCTGCAGAAAAGCCCAACTTTACAAAGAAAAAAAAAGTCATGAGATATTTACATTGCTACAACTTGGTAATTTTTTCCTCTTGTTTCATCTTGGAAAAGTTTTATTAGCAGCAGCTTTTAAAACGTGCCAGAAACACATCAAGGCTATAAAATCTCTTACTTTGTTTTATTGGTAAAAAGAATGTTAGAAAAATGTACTCAGTGGAGTCCATCCAGAATTGCTAAGTGACTGCAGTAAAGTAACCTGGAAAGTGAGTTGTACAACTGGCTTCCTACAGCGAGTTGTGAAGTCAGGGCAAAGTCATGACTGGCTCGGGTCACAGTTTATCTGCTGTTCACTTGTCTGCAGCCTGGGGTGGATCTTCATCCATAAATGGTATAGATATTTCTGTATTGTCTTGCTGTGGGATACTGTGTGATCGTATCACAAAGACTTTGGCACAAACCCCACTATATTAAAGGAACTGATACTTCTCCCACTTTATTTTCTCTCTGTCCTACACTTCATGTTGCGAAACCTCTTATCTGCAGATAGACAACCAGAGATGGAGTTCCCCAGTAGCAGATACCATGAAACTGGTGTTGATTTGAGTTTTGCTTTTAGCCTTTATGTTTTGCCTAGGCTGATGAAAAAAGTAGAAGCTGTCCTTCCTAATTCCCTGGCAGCAGTTCAGACAACTAGACCTAATTATCCTCGTACTATTATGACCTATCTCCCCAGCTTCCTGATTCCAGCACTCCCTTTCCAACCTTGAATAGGCCTTTTCTGTCTCAGAGAGAAAAATCCTTTCTTATTATACAGTGACCAGAAAACCACATAATTTTCCAGTGTGTGGTCTACTGCAGCTACCCTGAGATATTGGAGATTTTTCAAAATCAAAACAAAACCCACTTACAATTGTTCTTGGAACAAGAACACTTGTGTAACTGTACTTGTATTTTTCTGTGTTACAAAATGACTTTCGTGGCATTATGTTAGCTGTTTTTGGAAACTTTTTGTCTAATGTTCAACTGTACTAATGGCCTAGCCTTGCTTTTCAGAGAAAAATAACAAATTGGAAGTAATTGAAATGAGGAGGCCTTGCTTTACAGTCACGTTGCTTTGACTTGAAGCAGCTGGGGGAATATGGTTGTTAATAGAGATGTTCAGAACTGTTTCTTCTGACCCAGTGAATTTGAAAGGCCAAAGGGAGTGTTGGAAATGTGGGAGATACATTTCATTGCCTTTCAAAAGAGATCAAGGACACTGACGACTCATTCTGCTCTAAAAAGCCTGGGTTTGAACTTGCATAGATACACCAGGATTGTCCAGTGAATTTAGAATAAAAATTGGCAACATCTCCATGCTTAAAGCCATTTTATGTCTTACATCAGTGCTGTTCTCCAGACTGTGTGGTCATGTGTGCATAGCTCTGCCCTGCACCAAATAAACTCTGGGGGACCTGACCTTGTAATATACCTTTTCCCCAGCTTTTTATGCCATGGACTGACCTGACCTGATGACAAGACAAACCTGCGTTCCTCTGGGTTACCAAGAGGCTCAAACCCCTTCCAGGATGCAATGCACCAAAATACTGGCTGGCACCATCAGCAGGATGTTACCATGCAACTGTTTGGTGCCCAGTCTGACAGAGGTACCCCTGCTGGCCTCCCATTGATGGGGATACCAATCCTCTTGTAGCCTGGGAAATCTGTGGGCAGCTTCTGAAGACAGTCTCCATCTTAAGAACCACCCAGAAGTTTGGAAGATCTTGTGTTTGAACTGTGATCCCTGAGGTGAGATCAAGGTAGGTAGCTCTGAAACTTACACCGTATTTACTTAGCAGCTCCTACACTGTTATGAAAGCTAGTGCTATTGTACTTTATGCCCACTGAGAGCACTGAGTAGCTGTTACCACTACCAACTGGGCTTAGTGATAATTTTTGGAAAAACTAAGCTGTTTGAGAATCTGCCATCTCTGCTTTGCAAAGAGGGATTGTAAAGATTGGCAAAGATGGGGTAAACCCTCACAATCTATTCTACTTGTATTAAAAGCTCAAGTTCAAAGATGTCATTTTCAAATAAGTTCCTAAATTGTATATTAAGACTGTTTCATGGTGCAGACAAGTGTAACACTGTTCTCCCAAATGGCCCAGACTAGTGAGACTGCACTCATATAGTCAAAGGTACATATTGGATTTTGAATGCCCAAACTGAGTGGATGGTTGAAAATCCCAACCCATAATATCTAATAAGTGACAGATGCTACACATACTCCTGGGTGCAATGAAGAAGGTCACAGAAGTTTGCTTCTAAAAATCACTTTTAATTTATCTTTTCCTGCTGACAGCTTCATGCTAAGAGTTGGCCTCCATTTGATGTGAATACTGAGAAGCTGCTGCAGGCTACCACTGATTGGAATTTACTTGTATTAGTCTAATTGCGTGCTCTGCCATCATCTGTTTGCAATCACAAAGAGGAAGCTTCTGAAGCTTGGGAATGAGGGAAAATGAAGTGTCTTAACAACTACAAAACATTGAGAATGCTTTTGGAGGCTTTCCCATCAGTTTGTGAGTATGAACAAAAAGGCAGAGTTTTATTTTTATTGAATGTTCATCTTTACACTGCAGCATAACAAAAATGCATAGAAGAACTAGGAATAGTTGTAATTAATAAAGGTCCCCAAGCACTTTAATTGATCATAGTAAGAGTCCACAAATTGATTTGGAAAGGGTTGAATTAATTCATTATTTAATTAATTGAATTAGCTCATTACTAAAGTCACACAATTGCTCTTTCTATGGATCTTTAACCTACCTTATTAAACATTCAAACTCAGTGCTTCTGGCTGCTCAGTTTAACTGCCAGTTTTAAAACATACCCCTTGGGCATTTTATCTTTAATGCTACCCTAAAAGGTATGACCTTAGACCCTTCTCATGCAGCAGGAGACACAAGCTGTGAGGAAGTGGACAGATAAAGCACCTTAATAACTCAATATTAGTTTTGCTTCTGTCGGGTCTAGAGGTTTAGGCTGGGGAGGAAAGCTGAGCTACTTTGCGGAGCATTTAGCCGAGCTCCACCAAGAGGCAGCATTGCACAACGCTGGAGGAGCTGGGGGCAAGCCAGGGGAGTGCTGGGCTGACCCTGTGATTGCTTCCTCAGTCCCTTCACCTGTGAGGTGTTTGCAGTGCTTATCACTCCCCACCCTGCAGATCAATTTGAAAAGTCCTGGTGAAAAGTGCTGCACAAGGTGCCAGTGAGTTGGAAATCTGTTATTTATGAACTACTAATGTTAGTTTGGTGGTAGGGATGTGTTTCTTTCTGTCTGGTCAGTATGTGGAGAAGAACAGCAAAGGAATGATGGGACTGCACTGTCAGGTCTGCAAGGGAAAGGAAGTGCTTACATGAGCACAACCTGAGAGAGCTGTTTTCTAAACTGTCAGGTCCTCATTTCTTAGGAAAAGTTTCATACTTGATGGGGAAAGTATGAGGATGAATCAGGATAATCCCAATTCCTGTACAGCTGGGGTGAGCTCTTACAGTGACTGTTGTTTGGTGGCAGGGCCTGGTTCTTCTTGTAGCTTGTTTGTTAAAACAAACAAACCAGCAAGAAAAAAAGCAATGGCTTTTACTTTTAACTTGTCAGGGATAAATTTCAGAGATGAGGCCTTACTAGGACTCATTGGCAATCTTCAGTGGAGTTTTGTTGTACTATTCAAGTGAAGTATCTCCTTCAGTGCTTTGCTGTAGCACAGCCCCCTTGTTTTGGGGACTGCCTAAGCAGTAGAAGGTCTGGCTAATTACCACCTGGCTTAGGTGGTTCTGAGAGTCTTTGTCATTTTGTGATGTGAAAGGTTAAAATTTTGGAGCCTTTTTTTTTTTCAATTTTAGGCAGTAAAGAAGTGAATAATGGAAATAATTCATTGAAACACTGCAATGAATCAGAGAATGCATTTCTTAAAGTTAAAAAACCCCGAGTTGAGATTGAATCCAAGCTCAGAAAAGCACGAAGAGATATAAGTAGAAGCTTTGTAAAATTCTCATTTTAAACTTTACCAGATGTTGGCAATAAGATGATTATAATTCCTACCTTGTATAGGATCTGTGGCAACTGTTACATCACCATAGCTTCCTCAGGCATGTGGGTGAAGCAACATTGCTTGTGTTTCCCAGTGGGTTAGTGAGCTTGTGTGCATTCTTTTGACAGGTATTTTTGCACTGAAAGCAATTCAGTGAGGTCACTTGAGAGCATCAGGTGGAGGGTGGGTAGCCTTAATCAGGCTGAGGAGGTGGGTGCTTCTAAACCAGGTATCAGGTCTGTGAGTTCAATGCATTCTGAGCTTTAGTGCCAATTTCTGCAAAAAGGAACTAGTGAACTTCTAGTCCAGCACTCTGAGTGTGTCCCCTTTCAGAGAGAAAGCACAGCTCATTGTGTCTTGCTACTGAACTTATTCCTCCTTGAGTTCCCCATGTGTAAAAGAGGTCTGAAATACAGCCTTCCTTCCAGAGAGACTGAACTGCAAAATGCTTTGTGATCCTCCTGCTAGAACAGAATAATTGCATCAGTGTCTTTGAGGAAGAGACCATTTCTTTTCCCTGCTGTGTTTATACAGCTCTTAGTTAATTAAGTGAAGTCCATGTCTGCAGTGGAAAATCCCTAGTGCTGTTACAACTGATTTGTATTGAGCTGTACTAAAGAATAATGGTGGTTTGGAGGATGGACTTACAATCTAGACAGCAGCATAAACTTCTGTCTGCATAAATTAAAGGTCTTGCCTTAAACTATGAGGGGTAACTTACATTGTGAATTAAGTATGTCTTTGTAAATCCAGAGCAGAAGGTACGCTGGCACTGGCAGTTCCAGTTAGGCATGATTGGTTTGGTTTTCTTAAAGTTTTTAAGCTTTAAAATAGCTTTGCATTAAAGAAACAAAACATTCTAACAAGCAAAACTGTCTTGATCCAGTGAGGTTGTAGCAGCACCAGTGTTTCAGGCAGCTGCAGCCTAAGGTAGTAATGGTGCTAAGTAATACTTGGGATCATGTTTGTTAACTTTCTTCTTGCTACCTCAAATCAAATAAGAATGTTAGTTACAGTCATTGCTGGAGTACTTGAGTTGAGATAATCCCAGCTGAGTTAACACATTTTTAAAAAGAAGAACTACATTCTTTACAGCGATCTTCCAGTTATGCCAAAAATACAAATTCCAAAATATATTTGTAATAATAATAATGCCAAAGCCTGCAGACATGCCAAGTTCCCAGTGTTGTGGATAGAAACTGTAGCATTGTGCATTTTCCTTTCAGCCATCGGATCCTCTGCTCTGAAGAGAATATCATTGAGGAGCAGTTTGAGATAAGCACAGGGACCAGAAGAGTATAAAGAGCTCCTGATGGCTGTCAGAACAGTAAGTAATTGCTATATTTTCATATTTCGAATATAAGCATTTTTCTTGAAGGCTGCAATGTAAAACAAGCAGCATGACATAGGGAATCATGAATTGATTTGTTGGAGAGGTTGTGCAAATAAACTTGAAAATTGTATTTCTCAGATGGGTTTCATACTGGTGGAGGAACTCGAGGTAATGTTTTTTTTCCCCACAGAGATGATGTCTTAAGAGTTACTTGATTTGTGGCTCAGATCCAACTCAAAAGGGTGGATGTCAGTTATCTGGTTGCAGAATGATTGTGTAGTCCCTGAATTCAAGTTTATGTAAAGCATTGCCTGTGGTTGATAACTGCTGAAAAAGGACATTGACACTGTTGTGTTCCAGCCAAAATCCTACAGACATACAGATGTCTTGGGTTTTTTGCAATCAGATATGACTGCTTTTTGGTGTTCAGGTGTGTATACATAAATGCATGGACACTTCTAAATAAGGGCAAACAGAGGTAGGGAGTCATTTTTATTCTTTTTTCTTTTAAATTGCAAATTTCAGTGGGAATCTTCCCAAATCAAGTGAACTGGGAATAATTGCATCCTAGCCTTACTCTGCTCCATTGCTTATCTCCAGACGAGCCTGTGCTTTTCATTTGCCCAGTGGTCTTAGAAGGAGGTGCCTTAAACCACAGAAACCAAGGTCTGCAAATGCTGTGGATGATCCTGAAAGGAAACAGTTGGCTCCTTAAATACAGATCTCATGACAGTGGAAGTTTTGGAGCTCTCTCTTGGAGAAATGGGGTTTTCTTACCATTGGTTTGCTAAAGACAAGAATATATTATATGCTGTATTACATTCAGATGATCTCATACTAATCAAAACAATCTTGTGGGACCTCTGATTCTGATTAAGCATTTGGGCTGAAGGGACCATGCTACCATCCTACCTCATTGGCAGGGGTTTTGTCAGGAGACATTTGTTATGGTTTTGAAGCAAATATTTCTGTGATAAGTGTTATATTGTAACCCACAAGGATATGAATAATCCTGTTTTCAGTGAAGAGTTTAAACTGCATGCTATAAATAAAACCAAGGCCACACATTGACTCAGAAAGAAATACTGAATAGCTCTGTTCATCCTGCCCACTAACTGGGGTGAGGCCATGGGGAAAAATAGCTTTTAATTGTATCTCACAGGAGAAGTGAATTAGGACTACACAAAGCAACCTTGATTCTGGTGTTGCCAGCTCTGAATACTTGACTTTTCCACCTTAACGTAGGTGGGTGGAGACGTTGTCATTATTGTTTTGTTTGTCATTGTGCAGCTATATTCCACTTGAAAGTACTTTGTGTTTTAAAATCTCTTCTGCTGGTACATTCCATTTCCTTACTCTCAACTGCTGGTTTTTAAACTGAGCTAGGAATGATGAATTCTCCCTTAAAAGGATGATTTTACTCATTGTGAAGTGAAGCTCTCAGCTTCCATCTTCATTTCTTTCTGGTCATAAAACTCCAGCCACCAGGCAAAGATCAGCATGTCTCTGAAAATGAATAGGCGCCCCAAGGACAACTGAGTAACCTCCACAGCAATTGTGTCGAGGTGACATCAGCACTCAGATATTTTTCATCTTGGCTCTTCCAGCAATATCCAGTCAATAATGGGCAGTAGAGCCAGCACACACTGACTGGCTTTATTGCTCACCCACTGGGAACTTGTCTCTTTGTAAGAGACCCTTAAAAAGTGGTAGGTCCAAAAACTAAACAACTGTGTTCCCTTTTGAAGGACTTGCCTTCGAAGCAGAGCTTGCTTAGTGAGCGATGCCAGGCTGGATGTCAGCCTTGTGATCCCACAGGTTCTCCCAGCATTAGGTTCTCTGACTCCTGGGAGTCAGCATGGACATCAGTCTTCATGGATCTCAGGTAGCTTTTAAGTGTTGTAAGGCCAACCACCACCTGAAAATCACTCCTAGCATTGCTACTGACCCATTCTGAAAAGCCAAAATTTCATTATATCTGTTGTATTCATTTTCCCAGTGTGGGATATCATGGTGATAATGCCAATCTCCACTTTAAAGTGCTGTATTTTAGCTCCTAAGTTTTACTGATAATTCTCTAAGACCACTCATTCCTTTAACACCACCTGAAGGAATACTAGCGCTATAATCCCTACTTTACAAATGGGAAGGGGATGTACTGGACAGGATAAAAACTTGTTTTGTGCTTTCTTAGTGTAGCAGAGCTGGGACAGGAACAGAGGAATACATTGATGTTCTTGACCTGGGATGTTGTAGCTCTCCTCTCCTGGATTGTACCTTCTGGGGGGAAGGTATTTTTCCCCAGCCTCCCACCATCTCCTTACTAATGTCTTTCCATGTAGAAATAATATTTGGAATCTGAGATTGTGCCTTCTGAAGTGGTTTCCATCTTGCTGGCCTCCTAAGAGAACTTTAACCTTTTTTGAATGATCATGTTCAACTACATATAATTTCAATTCCATAAAATCCAAGTCCCAGTGTATTTATATACACTGCAGCAAAATGTACCTTTAAGGAGAAAACATTGCTTCACTGTGACTATCTGAATTTATTGGCTATTAGAAGCCTTATAGTGTGTGGCTCACATTTTAGAACTCTGATTTCAAGCTTAATGTGGTCAGGAAATATAAAAATACATTTATTTATGTCATCTACTAAAAATCTCAACCTATGTTGCTGCTAGTCTAACCAGATCTGTGTTTATGTTGGAGATGAATGATGGGTTTGTAGCTGCCTGTGTTTCTAGCCAGGCTGAATGGAATGATTCTGCAGCAGAACTGCGTGTGTATTTCTTGTTTTTAACTTCTTTTTATTTACTGCATGTGGCAGCTATTTCCTTCCTCCCAGAAGCCACTGCCCAGCTCTCAAGGGCAGCACAGCGCTCTGACTCCTATCAAGCTGTGTACGTGGAGTGATGTGATTTATTGAGTTGTTCAAGGTCATCAAAATTCAGGCAAATAGTTCATTCCTACCTGTTCACTGGTGCAAGCTTGGGCTGGATTTGCTTTTCCAAGTCTTTGGAGACTGCACATCAGTAGCTACTTTGGCTGATACTTGCACAAGCTTTCTTCGGTATTAATCTTTAGGAAAAGATCTTTGAGCATAATTTCTCCTCAGACAATCTCCAGAGGTCCCTTCTCAACTTTACTATTCTCTAAGCTCCCAGTTTTACTGGTCATGCTTAACAGATTTACATGCAAGGATAAGAAGGTGCTGTTCATCATCACAGATCCATACAAAGAAAAAAAGGGCTGGAAACAGATGAGATTTGCACTTTCGGGTTCTGCTCTAAATGGAAAGATGAAGGGAAAAATGATTTAGTGAATATAAGTGAAGCAGTAAAAAGGCAGCAGGACAGGACTCAGAGGAAATCTCGAAGCCTCTTGGAAAGAAAATTAAGGGTTTGAGTGGAGCTAATATCTAATATCAAACAAGTCATCTTGTATGCAAGTGACTTGTGATCTTGTTTTGAACTGCAGGTGCCTAAAACTCTTCCAGGGGAGAGGACTGCATCTCTGTAGCAAACTGCAGCCTTCTGACAAGAGGCTTTTCTGTCTCAGCCTTGTTTCACAGTCTTCAGAAGTAGCCCCCGCCTCCAGCTGACTGTGAACCACAGGCTGGGGAGAACTGTTCTGAGTGATGAAGGCCACATATGCTTTTCAGCAATAGGCACAAAGAACTCTTGTATCATTTTTCCAGTCAAGGGTCCCTTGATAAACACTTTGCAGGAGGACATTTCTCTGTTGATCTAAAGTGACATATTGGAGTAAACCACGTCAGATGGGCTGCAGCAGCTTCGCTTCTGTTACCTTCTTTCACTTAAACTTTTATTTTTGTTTTTTGGTACACTTGGCCTGTTCCTGGGATGAAATAATACACACAGTGATCACAGCTGACCTTTTATGTACCGTTAGAAACAGGTCTGACTCCCTTGAGCCATGAATGCAGAGGGTTTGGGATGTAATTTCCTGGAACAGGTACAACTGAGATGCTTTCATTGCTGAGATCCGCTCTGCAATGGGCAAGCCCTCTTGGCATCAGCACACTTAACCTTTTTGTTCAACACATTTCCCATCCTGTGTAGGTGGACAATGAATACTAATATGATGCAAATGATTTCCTTTTAAATGTGAAGGCTCCCTGATTAAAAACACACTGTCCAGGAACTCTGGGTCTGTCCTATTCCCATTGAACAGAACTTCCCTTGTTGCCTTTGACTTTAGTGATTGTGGGATCAAACCCTTAGTTTCAAATAGGTTGCAAGTAAGTGTTTTTTTCCTTAACCTGAGGGTGAGTTAGCAGCTCAGTACAGAAGATGTAAAGAATGCAGGGGAAAAGCCAGGAGAATCTGAGGAAAAAAATCAGAGAAGGAAAAAAAAAATGTTTAAAGTCTTGCTTGAGAGTCCAGAAACTCATCAGAAAATCAGGAGCTGAGGTTGGTGGAAGGTGTCATGGGATTTCTTTTGGTATAACCAGGAGGAGAGGTGATGAAAACTAAATTACTGTGCCTGGGAGAGTGCTGGAACTTCCATGATGTCTTGGGTTTGATATACTCTGAAATGTGGTGTGGATCATGCAGCTACCTTCCTGGCTACTGGGAAAGTTATACCTTGGGGTTATTCACCCAGTAAGGAAATCATGTTTGAAGTCTTGTATATTCTCGGCTCCTCGTGCCAGCCCCTAAATGCATATAGTGGGAAAAAAAAACCAACAACCGAAATCAATTTGGATAGGCCTTGTTTATGGGTGTGCTTGAAAGAAAACCAACCAGCAGTAATGCCCACCAAGCAATCCCATGTAGAAAAACATGGCAAGGCTTTAACACCAACAGAAATGGAGAGTCTCTTGTTCTGAATGGGTTGTCTCTGGAGTATTCATTTTATGAAAGTTCTTTGACTTCTATGAGGATTTCTATAGAGGTTAGTTATAAAGTAGCCCAGGTCTCCTGGGTTCCTTTGCCTTGTCCTGCCACAGAGATCTCATCTAACAGCACTGGTT